ACATGGACATGACCTCTATGGTCACCTTGATGGATCTACCCCGACTCCCACCCCGAGCACCACTTTTGGCATCAACACAACCCCCAACCCTGCTTATACACTTTGATTCCGTCAGGATCAACTCATTCAAAGTGCCCTTATGGCGTCTGTTGATCCTACTATTGCCTCCACAGTTGCTGCTGCCAACACATCAAAATAGGCTTGGGACTCTTTGTATACTGCTTATGCAAACAAGTCCCAAACTCGGATCTTTAGCCTTTATGATCAACTTGCCTGAATTACCAAAGACTCCCTCCCTATTACTGAATACCTTCAACGTATTCGGTCCCTTTCAGATGAACTAGCCACTGGTTGGTGCCCTTGTTACTAACTCCGAACTCATTGTCAAAATTCTTAGTGGACTTGGCCCTGAGTTTTGCGAGATCTCGGCTGCTATACATACACGTGACACCACAGTCACCTATGAAGAACAGTATGAGAATTTGCTTGACCATGAGCTCTTTCTCCGTCATAAGGAGGCTAAGAAAATGTCGAGCCAAATCACTGCTGCGGTGGCCACTCGCAACAAACCAACCAATAATTCCAACAACCGTAATAATCATCGTCAGAACAATAATGGTATTCCTATACAGAATCCTCAATCATGGCGCCAGAATGCTCGCTCCAATCCGCCAGCTCAGTGGCATGCCCCAAATAACAATAATTTCACTAATGTTATCCGATGTCAATTGTGCAACAAAATTGGCCACATTGCAAATGTCTGCGGATCTAAATCTCACAATCACTTTGAGGCGAAAGCTAATTATGCTTGTGGTTTAACCTCTACTGCCAACCCATGGATTATGGATTCTGGAGGTACTCTTCATCTTACAACAGAGCCACACAATTTACAGGAATATCATGGCAATGAGAATGTCTCTATGGGTGATGGGAACAAAATTTTCATAACTCATACTGGTTCAACTCAGTTAAAAGTACCAAATAATATTTTTCCATCTAACTCACACTCTATGTGCTCCTGATATCAAACGTAAGCTTATATCTGTCTCCAAACTTTGCCAAGATAATCTAACATCTATCGAATTTTTTCCTTTTGATTTTATAGTGAAGGATCTGAAAATGCGAGTACCACTGGTGCGAGGCCGGAATAAACATGGATTGTATGAGTGGCCCAAGTCATATCCACCACTACCTTCGCAAGCTCACATATCCTCTACCACAACTTCTATGACCACATGGTATCGAAGGCTAGGTCATCCGCATTCTAGAGTTCTTAAGTATATCTTGAATAAATTTTTGCTTCCATTCTCTGAGCGAGACAATTTTTATTTTTATTTTTGTAATTCTTGTTCATCTAATAAAGCCCATCGACAACCATTTAGTCAGTTGAGTTTGACAAGTACCAAACCTCTTCAAATAATTTTTGGTGATTTATGAGGACCCTCTCTGGTTCTATCCATTGATAAAAAAAATGTATTATTGCTTGTTTGTTGATCAATACACGCGGTATACAAGGTTGAACACTTTAAAAAATAAAAGTGAGGTTAAAGAGCTTTTTCAAAAATTTTACCCTCTAATAGAAAAGCACTTCGATACCAAAATTTTATCACTTTATACTAATGGTGGATGGGAGTATAAAAGTCTTGACTCTTATCTCGCCCTTCACGGTATCGAGCATCTTTCTACACTACCTTATACCCCTCAAAGGGCCGCTCTTGCAGAGAGACAACATCGTCATATTATTGAAACTGCAAGAAGGCTACTTTATGAGGCATCTCTTCCATCAATTATTCGGTCATTCGCGTGTCAACATGTTGTTTATTTAATCAATCGTCTTCCCACCCCACTTTTAAATAACTTGTCCCCATTTCAAAAATTATTTGGTGAAATACCCAATTATGACCCCCTTAAATTTTTTGGTTGTTTATGTTATCCTTGGCTCAAACCTTATTCTAAAAATAAACTTGAACCCAGGTCCACTCCATGTGCTTATCTCAGATTCTTTGTAACCCATCATTGCCACCAGTGTTTTGATCATATGTCATCAAGACTTTATTTATCTCGTGATGTGGAGTTTTTTGAGAATATGTTTCCTTTCAAAAATTTATTTTCAAATATTGCACTTAAATCACATAGACTGGTATGAGATAATATCACAAATAAAGAACCCACAAAACCCACCTCTCAATTCCCCTTATTTTAGAATTACTCCAACCCATTATAAATCCCATACAAAATAAAATTTTTGAAGTTGAACCCACGGCAGAATCCCTCCCCCTTTATACTTGATCTCCTAATGAAACTCCAGATACAAATCCATCACCTCCACCCGAGATTCTCGGCGTGTCACCAGTGGTACCAGCAGATTTGGGATCTTCGCAAACTCCTACATCAGGTATGTCTCTATCTCCTCCTGATAATTCCCTCTATTCGAGTCCCTCATCGCATTCATCTTCTGCCCGACCTCTGCCACCCTCTAAACTCTCTATAAATTTACCTCATTCATCAACCAAATCCATCCCAACCTCTTTTCCACCACTGCTAGTGTATCAACGGCGCACCCCGAACCCAAAATCAACCAATTCGATGGCCCCCCACCTACCACCATTGTTCCTCCCGTTGAGCATCAAGCAGAACCACCCCTTCCGCATAATCCTTCCTCTCCCAATCGCATAGTTACTCGCTCATAGAGTAACATTCAAAAACCAAAAAAGATTTTTGACTACTTCACTCACTTGGAACCTATACTCGTACCCCACACTTTCAAACAAGCCCAAAAATATCCGGAGTGGAGAGCTGCAATGAAAAATGAATTTGATGCTTTACTGAATAACCACACTTGGGAATTTGTTCCAAATGATCCCTCTAAGAATGTTGTTTCATGTAAGTGGCTTTTCAGGATTAAGAGAAAAACGGATGGTTCTGTTGATCGCTATAAAGCGAGACTGATTGTGAAGGGATTTACTCAGAGGTCGGGTGTCGACTTTCACTCCTCTTTAAGTCCAGTGGTCAAACCCACCACTATGCGAATCATACTTGTTGTTGCCCTTCGTTTTCATTGGCCTCTTCGTTAGCTCGATGTCAACAATGTATTTCTTCAAGGTGACCTTGAAGAAGAGGTATACATGACGCAACCTCCGGGTTTTGCTTGTGGTAATAATCGGACTCATATTTGTAAGTTGCGCAAGGTAATTTATGGCTTGAAGCAAGCACCTCGGGCTTGGTATAATGCACTCAAAGGCCATCTTTCCTACATGGGATTTGTGAAGACTGAATCTGACAACTCCTTATTCACTCGGCATAGCAATGCTGGTTTCATGTTTATTTTGGTATATGTTAATGATATCATAGTTACTGGCAACAACTCTATCAGTGTGAATGAGGTTATATCTTCCCTTGCCTCTTGTTTTTCAATTAAAGATTTAGGAAATCTTCATTATTTTCTTGGTGTTGAGGTGATTCAGAGTTCTGATGATATTATTCTCTCTCAAGATAATTATGTTAATGAGATTCTGAATGATGAATTAATGTTCTGATTGTAAGAGTGCTAACACACTAATGGGTGCCTCTACATTGCTAAAACTCAATGATGGGGCTCCGCTAACAAATGCAACTCGCTATCATCGAGTCCTAGGAAGACTTCAATATTTGTCTTTTACAAGGCCAAATATTATTGTCCCCGTTTATGCAATCGCCATCTGATCTTCATTGGAAATCTGTGAAACGTGTTCTCAGGTACCTTCGTTGTACAATTCAGTTTGGCCTGCGTGTGTCCCTTAACGTTGATTTCAATCTGCACATGTATTCTGGTGCCGACTGGGCTGGAGATCTCACTGACAGATCCTTATATTCTGTTCCTTAACCGAAACCCCATCAGTTGGTCTTCAAAAAAGAAAAAATCTGTCACTCGCTCATCAACTGAAGCCGAATATAGAGCTGTTGCCAATGCGCTTGCCGAACTGTTATGGGTGAGAAACCTATTGCTTGAAATGCATCTTCCTATCAGAGATACCCCGACAATCTATTGTGACAACATTGGTGTCACTTATCTAAGCGAGAATCCGGGCCTTCATAGCCGCATGAAGCATGTCGAGGTGGATTTTCATTTTGTGCGCAACCATGTTGAACGCAAGGCCGTTCGAGTTGTTCATGTTCATTCAGCCGACCAACTAGCTGATACGCTCACTAAAGCACTTGCCAAACATGCCTTTGATCGCAATATGTTCAAGTTAGGCTTAGTGACACATAGTCTAACTTGAGGGGGGCATATCGGACCAACAGTCCCTGCTACTAGTAGTTATCAGTTTGTTCTTAGTATTTATCTCTTTAGATTAGATTGCATTTATGTTCTAGATTAGATGATATCATAGTTAGTTCTTCAGATTATCTATTTGATTTAGATAGGATTCTTTAGTTATTTGGTTTTCATAAAACTCTAAAAAGTTGGTTATTGTAACTTGTATTTAAACTCATTTATGCATTCAATAAGAGAGACAGTTTTCCATCATCTATTCGAGTGTTTATAATTACTATAGATTTGATATATAACATCGACCGAAATATAAGCTAGCTAAATTTGCCCTTCTATTTTACTTCTCTTAACTTTTAAAAAATTTCATTCTGAATTCTAAATTAAAAAGAAAAACAGGTCAGCAAATTGGTGGATTAGGTTGTCTAGACTAGAGCTGGTGACGGAGGTAGACATGCAATGAATAGAGTTATAAGATTGACTTTAATATTCTACGGCTAGTTGTTTCTAGCTAGTTTTTTCCCTCAATTGCAATGCTAACACATCCATGGTGGGTGGCTTGAGTTTTCTTTTCTTTGTTTTTTTTTTTTAGATTTCCTACCCGGTGGTATTCCCATTGCATGAGGTCTTACTAAATTTGAATTTGCATAAGAAAGTCTCATATATATAAGAGTAAAATATTCCCTAACAAAGACTACTTAATACTCAGGACTAGAATCAAAAACCTAAGATTCACTTCTATGGCCCGAAATTTACCAGCCAAGTCCTCATTTAATTTATTTGTTTTGATCATAGGGAAAATGGCCGTCTGTACTGTTTCCCATTGTGATTAAAAACATAAAATATGGAAAGCCTGGCAGTGATTCTGATGCTTATGATGCTGAAGGAAGGTAAAGCTGAAATAATTTGTGTATCGTCACTAAAAATATGTGACTCAAGCATTGAAGTACAAAACCTAATTTTTTACACAAAAATGAATTTTTGGCATCATAGCTATAGTAATATTTTAATCGTTATATATGGATCACATTTGTTGTAAGCTTTGTATAATACAGTTGATATTTGATTATATTTTTGAATGTTTTTGAAGATTTGTGCCAGAGAAGTTTGAGGAGATTTTCAAGAAGTATGCACATAAAAATGCAAATTCGTTAACATCTAACGAAGTGAACGAATTGCTCAAGAAAAATAGAGAACCTAAGGACTACTTTGGATGGTGCTGTTTATATATTTTTTTTGTTTTTAGTTAAAAATGTTTTCTTTATAGTGATACATGTTGGTAATCATATCATTTCTTTTTTTGGTGTAGGCTTAATGCTTCAACAGATTGGAGGATCCTATATGATTTGGCGAAAGACAAGAACGGTGAATTGACGAAAGAAGCAGTACGAGCTGTTTATGATGGAAGCCTTTTTGAACAAATGGCAAGAGAGAATGCTTCTAAGAAGTCAAGCTAGTTTTTATAATCATAGTTTGATATTGCACAAACTGAACAATAATGTTATTTATACCTTTGTTGTTGTTATTTGTTTGTTATTCTTGTTTGATATTTTGATACTTCACACAACTCCTAAGTTAATTTTATCTTCATCTTTATGTTATTACATTGCTGTTCAAAAACGAACAACGAAGTTATTGCCCTTATTTTTGCTACTATCTTTCTGTTTAATACAGTGACAATTGTATTCTTATTACCTCATTCATCTTGCAAGTTTTTTTTTTTTTTTTTTGAAAACTTAATCTCACCCATTAGAGTTTGGGTGTGCTTTTATACCATAAAAAAGGATAACAAAGAAGGGGGCTAGGCCTGACCTCTATTACAAATGAAAGCTGAGAAACTCAACCTTGCCAAAATACAGGGACTGGTTATGCGACAAAACAGTCCAATCCACTATACTTTTACAGGTAACTGGAAGTGAGAAGGCCGTGACGAAGTCTCCTTCTTCATTCTTGACTATGCCCCCAATCCCTGCTTGCTCTGCTCCTTTATAAAGCTTCTATCAGTATTCACTTTAATCAGTCCCTCAGGAGGTTTAACCTAAAAGACTTGCTGCCAATATGAAATAGGTCTTAAATTATCCATAGTCTCACAGAGTTGGATCTAAGGTGTTACTTAATTGCATTTGGAAAAGCCAAACCCATAGCTAAATTGAAACTCCAGTGGATTTGATAAGCCATCTTACTGTACACAAGTTTCCGTTGGTCTCCATATTTACATGAGCATCTAGCCTTCCACAATTCCCATACAATCAAGAGTGGTATATTGCTTGAATCATTAGCTTATGAACATTGTTCATTGCCTAATGTCTTGGTCGGTCAATTAAATTTAAAAAAAAAATATTGCAAAAAAAAAAAAAACCGACCAAAGTTGGTCGGTATTTTAAATATGTAATAAAAAGATTCATCATCTGGGAATCGAACCGGGGTCTGTACTGTGGCAGGATACTATTCTACCACTAGACCATTGGTACATTTTGTTTTAAGAATGTCTTTTATTTGATTTATACTCTTTAATTGTATTTTCGCACGAAAATAACCGACCAAAGTTGGTCGGTTTTATTAAAAAGTAAAATTACCGACCAAAGTTGGTCGGTTTTTTTAAATGACCCGCCGAATTAACCGATCAATTTTGGTTGGTTTTTTTAATATTAATTTTTATTTATTTTAATTGAAAAACCGACCAAAGTTGGTCGGTTTCTTGAAACATAAATTTTGCGGGACTCAAAAATAGTTTCCCGCATTTTTGCGCCAAAGAAAACCGACCAAAGTTGGTCGGTTTCGTAAAAAAAAAATTAAAAAAAAATATTTTGAAAAACCGACCAACTTTGGTCGGTTTTTTGGTCAGTTTTTTGACCGACCAAAGTTGGTCGGTCGACCTTGGTCGGTTTTTGCCGAATTTGTAGTAGTGAGAAGTATTGATGTACAATGCAAAGTTAATGAGCTCCAAGATCTTAATCTCTCAAGAGTTATTTTTGTTATATTGTGTGAATGTCCCTTATGCTTAGAAGGATCCCCCTCTTTATAGTAGAGGGATCCTACTTTATCTATAATAAAAAAATATATAGTGGAGAACCCATGATGAATTGTCTTTTCTCCAATTCCTGCCAAAATTCTCTCCCTTAGTGCGGTTGCAACGGCCCTTGTCTGTGAGCTCGATTCTGACTCAAAGTCGGTATTGGATCGAGCCAGGCCTTGACTCGGGCCCGATACTGACTCAAACTTGATATTGGATCGAGCTGTCGACCTTGACTCGAGCTTGATCTCGATTCAGAGTCTTGATATTTGGGATGAATGTTGGCCGGTCTATGCATCTTCGACAACCTTTGCGTTGCCTCGTAGTTTGATTTGGTTATGGGCTCGATAATGATACCGAACCGATCATTGACCGGACTTAGAGCTCGAAGCACGACGTCCTTACTTCGGACCTCGCCCTGACATTACGCAGATACCCTTCGATCAAAGTATTACCATCTCGACCAGTCCGTATAATTGACTACTTGGTTTTGACCGTATACAGATAGTCCCCTCGTTTCTCGGGAAGGATGTAACGAGAAACGATATGACTTTTCAATGGTACAATTAGATATACACTGACGTTTGCACGGAGTTCGATCATGATGCACATGATAGCCGTCCCGTCGGTTCCGTTTACCGAGGCATTTAATGCGTGTCTGACGATGGTCGGCCATTACCGATTATTAAACCGCCACCGCTTAACCTATAAATATCCCTTTCTTCTACCACTAATCACCTTTACATTCTCTGATCAAAAATATTTTCTAAGCATCTCCCCGTACTTTCTGAATCCGTTTGCGTGAAATTTGTCCTTCTGTGTTTTTCACTACAAACTCTTTCTCTGAAACACCATACCCTCTTTATTCCTTTCTTCTAAATTCAAGGAAAATGGTGAAAACATCAAAGACCATTCCTAAAAAAGGAGAGGCCTCTTCTTCGCAGCCCGCCGCCGATAAAACGCGGTGGAGCCACGACCAGAGGAGTGTGTTCCCAAAACATGCCTTCTCACCTCCGATTTCAAGCTCGACAAAGGCACGTTGGTTCCCGGTCGATGCGAACAGGTATCGAGATATTTATGCTCGATAACCAAAAAGCAACTCGAACAGTTGAAGGCATATTGCAATTGGGAAAATAAGGAAGTGGTGATTCCGACTTCCGACGAAGATATTACCACCCATGTGGAAGTGTTCTTAAGCGTGTATACCAACCCGTTTACGTTAGGAACTTTTGACCCTGTTATCATCGACTTTTGTCAGCAATACCAAATAACTCTAGGCCAAATTCATCCTTCCTTTTGGCGGATCGTTATTCTGATCCGTTTCTTTCCAAACATGATCGAGGGGATGCCTTTCACCCTCGATCATCTTATTAGACTGTATAGTCCCCACCTCTTTCGAGGCGGATTAATAAAACTACAACGCCGGGCTACCAAGGTATTGTTCTCGAGTATAGATGAGGACAAGGATCGAAGTTGGATGGGCAGGTTTGTTCGAGTGAAGACTTCAGACTTGATCCCAGCCAAAATGATGTCGTTCCCCGAAGAATGGAATATGAATCGTGAGTGTACTTTACTGTTTTATTTACTATTGCCTTGTTTCTTTGTTGTTTTCTTGCCGATATCTTTTTTGTGGTGCAGCGGTTCATTGGATGCCCGGTGCCATCCCCGATCTTAAGAGCTGGGTACTAGCTCTAGCTTAGAACTCCTCATACGCCAAACGTTCGTGGCGTGATCTGGCGAAGGGCCGATGGGAGGCGAAAAATCATGGTAAGCCCATTTTTCATGTTTTGGGAGTTCGAACGAAATATTTTCCTTATACTTAACCGATTTCTTGTGTTTTTGGGAATTCTTATGTGTAGGCCTACGCAGAGATGCAGTTTTGAGGCCCCTGCCAGGCGAGGAAGAGACCTCGGTTCCAGTTTCCAAACCGGCGAAGGGAAATAAGAGGAAAAGGGCCTCTACTTTCGAGAATCCAAAACCAAAGGCAAGGTCGGTAAGTTGGAGAAGAATACCATCCCTTTGACCTTAGAGTCGGTTCAACGTCTAAGAGACGAAGATGAGGAAGAAGAAAGTGAGGAGTTCGTGCTGGTGGCCCGAACGAAGAAAACTGCTGATTCTCCACAGGCAGGTGGATCGATGGTGGCTTATACAGCTCCGGCTCAAACTGAGGATATATCGGAGAAGGATTCGGGCAGAGTTACTGAGTCGTTGCAGATCGAGGGTGCTTTCAATCGAAGCCAACAGATAGGGAATATATCTGAAGGGGTTGTTCCCGAATCTCTTCGAACCGAAAGGAACGCCCTAAGTGACTTACTTGGGGTAGCAGCAATCAAAGACTCTCCCACCTTTCCTACTTTTTCTGAAGGGGAGATTCGGGAAGTCCAAGCTTTGGGGGCCCTCGAACTAGACATGCCTCATGAAGGGGATGACCCATTTTGTGGTCTATTTACCGGTGTCGAGGATGCTGCCGGTGGCAGTGATGCATCAGATTTTTTCCACGGAGTGCAGCAAGCTTTGAATCAGGTAAGCCTTAATTTATTTCGTTTGGTATTATCCCTTATGTCTATTTTCTTTTTTCACTTCGTTTCTTCTTCCCTTGTAGGCTGCGACAGCTTATTGAGAGGCATGTTCTTGATCCCGAGCTAAGCTGCATCGATATGAGGTCGATCTCCGACGTGTCACGGAGGAGAGGAATGTCCTTAAACTCCTCTTAGGGCAAAAAAGGGAGGAAATCAAGGATCTCCGAGCTGAGTTAACTAAAGCTCACCAAGATCAGACCGGTCTGTCCGAGCAGGTAATGATACTATTAAAAGCCTATGGGCTCGATACTAGAACGATGGCTAATCTTTCGGTCTCACAGCTGCAGCAGAAGCTTAAGTTGATCGGGAAACTCCGTGAGGAGGTTGATGAGATAAAGGCAGAGTCCTTGAAATGGAATGAAAATATAGACCGCCTTGCTGCAGAGAGAGGGGCTGCTCGAGCCTAGTTGTCATGGACATAAAGTCAACTTCAGAGCCTGAAGGTGAAAAGTTGGCTCAAGCAAGGGAAAAGGAGGAGATCGAGGCTCAGTTGGCCTCTGAACTTGCCAAGGCTGAAAAAACAAAAGGGCGATGCAGACGCAATGGTGGATGTTTATCGGGCTGATGATAAAGTTGCTCGGTTACATACAAGAGAGGTTGCTGATACCGCTCGAACTCGAGCACATTGGATCGCTGAATTTGTCAAATGCCAAACTCGGAGGGAAACCCTCGAGGAGATCCATGCTCGGGGCTTCGATCTTTCTGAAGAGATAATAAAGGCAAGAGAGCTTGAAGCTGATGCTGGGGCCTTGGCCTCCGATGATGATGACGATGATGACGACGACGACGATGATGATGACGGGAGCAAAATCGGGTCTCATAGTGGGGAGGAGCCCTGTCACGCCCCAAAATCGA